TTAAGTAGATGTATGCATCATCATAGCATGAATATTTCTAATTCTCAGACTTATCCTGTACCGTATGAAAAAGCAACGCAATTTTGAGAATGCGGAAATGATGTCTCATATAGAACCTAAAATGATTTAAATGCAACATTTCTGATCAAAATCACATTGGGACCCCCCCCCCCCGCATCACAGAGAGAAAATAAGGTGACACTGACCCCTACTCCTATTTTTCAAGGTGACTTTTCCAATTTATTTAATTCCCAGTAGAAATGTCTGGAAAAATTCATGTATTCGATGTACTTTATAATCTAAGGAATTCTGCTAGATTTCACCCAAAGAATGCATGAAATCGCAATTCAGGGACCCTAGATTTCAAAATTTTCCGGACCCCGGACCCTGCTAGACGGTCTCACGCCTTCGGCGTGAGGTTCACCCCCCACCCGGCAAAATTAAGGTTTGGCTAGGCCACTGGCTGTACGATTATAGCTACAAAGAATTGAAGTTATTGTTTAAAGTAAAATATAGGTGCAGTTAATACATTAAAGTTTCTACAAAATCTCTCTTCAGACTCGCGCGTTCGCCAAACCTCGGCGGCTCATATTTTTCGTTCAGCCTTTTTTTCCTGTTTTGCCCCCCCATTGAAAATTCCTTAAAAAAGGCACTGCCGAACCAAGTTCGAAAGCAAGTTCGCAAATTGTAAACGATTTTAACGGTAAATTTTAAAAACTAAACTTATTGTATTAAACTTATTATAATTTTAAACCTGCAATTATTATTATTATTATTATATTATTTATTATTTTGCTACAGAAATAAAGAATGGACAAATCCGGAACTATTAACCATTTAAAAATTCTACTATATATTTGTTGTTTGTTCATTGTTGCCGAAGGCAGCCTCCTAGTCTTGACGATGTGTTATAGCGCATTTGAATTTCCCGCCAAATGAAGTATCGCGTTTACTTGTGTCCAGTCTCTTTGCCCGAGCTATGTATTGTCGAGATCTCGATTTTGTGTCTGTCTGTCTGTATGTAAAGATGTCGTAATTCCGGGGAAATAATTAAGGCTTCAGGAAGTTTTTTTAAACGAGGGGGGCGGTCAAACTTTATTTTGTATTGCACACGGAGCAAGTTCTTCTCATTCAAGGACAGTTACGAGCCAATATTTACATTTTCATGATGCAAAACATGGACAATATTTTCAATAATTCAGGTAAGGATAGCTTTATTTCTTTTTGGTAATATACATGAAGGCATTTACAGTATATTTAAAACACTGTGATATTTCATGAATTTAGATTCAGCATGAATTTCAGAATTTACCCTGCGGCTGCACTGTCACTGATCGTCTTTATAGTTAAATATACAAGTAGTCAAAATCTGTTTTTAGTTTATTTGTTTGTGTGGTTATTTCCAAAGGCGATGAGTTTATAGTGTTTATTCGACATGTTTATAGCAATGTGCTTTCAGCACGTTTTAAAAACAAACGTGGAATGTTGTGTAGCAGGGCTTATATAATCAGGCTTTAGTTAATATTTAATATAAAGATATCCCTATAGCAATCCAGTGTGGTATAAAAGGAGCCGAGGGGTGTCCAAACATTTTCTAGTGGGATGCAAGCAGCACCACCAAGCTTCGGCAGGAGTTAGGATTAAAGACTTTCTCCCAAAGTAGTAGGGCTGACGTGAAATTTTGGTGGGGTTGAACACTTTATAACACCTCGGGGTGTTATACTTGGTACTAACCCCCCAGGCCCAGTAAATCTGCCCATGGCTGTCTGCACATATTAACTTACCAGCAGTTATATGTAATAGCATGTCAACTGACTTTTGTACAAGGTATGATGGTTTGTAAAAATATATCTCTGAGATATGTCCATTGTCAGCATATTAAATAAGGAATAATCCTACCGGCCTACATAATACATTCATATATTCACCTGGCTGTGTCACTACATTTCAGGATATACTATATTTTCTCGATAATGCTCACAATTTCTTTCTTATTAATATACATGCAGTTTTGAAGTTATGACTGAGTACAATCTTAATCATTGGCATTACAAATGAATGGTGCCATCTGAAGCTGATGTATTAAATTAAACAAAAATGACAGTTGTTCTGTGATAGGGGTAGTTTTGTATTATAGTATTTCTATACATGAAATTGTTATTAAATTTTACATGTCCAATGATTCATTCAAGTATTATTATTGTTGTTGTACATTTATTATATAACGTATAGTGCTTTATAGAGATTTCGAGCGCTGATAAAACTGATAATCTCACATGTGAGATTATTTATGATAATGGGTCATTCCAGAAAACATCCATACCACCCCCGCGGAGGAATTAGGAAGTTAACCCCCCTACCCCCTTCGGATGTCCTAATACATTTACTAACCCACCCTCCCCCTCCGGACGGCAGAAATTTCCTCTGTGGGGGGAGTATGGATCTTTTCTGGAACGACCCAATCTCACATGTGAAAATTATCGCTTTTCAATAATCGCTTTTCTGCCAAAAATATCGCTTTTCAAAGACTGTCCTTTATATAATAAACAGAAAAATAAACATAAATACTTGGAAATACCAGATTTAATATTGTACAGTATTCAGTGGCAAGCTAGTCATGGCAACTCGTCATGCTATGCCCTCTGTGCTATGCCTATGCTGATAATCTTGCATCTATTTGAATGATACAAATCATTAATAATTTGCATAGCATGACTTGTTGCTATGGCTAGCTTCACCAATGACAGCTGATTATAATTATACATAACAAAAGCAAGAAGTTATAAGCATTGAAGGTATTCATATAAAACCACAGGTGGCCAGGCTCTGTGTGGGTATTTATTTATTTTTTAATTTTATTATATTTTGCATTACAAATTTACTTTAAATTTTTAAATTATAAAGTATAACTTACTTAGTTTCCTTTATGTATTCTTTATGTATTTGGGGGTGGTTTTAGTTTAACATAATGGCATAAAAACATCATGAGAGTAATGGCAAAGCGGGATCATATCAACAGGCAAACAGCCCCTTATTCAGCCATTGTGCATGCTGCCTTGGGGGGTGAGCATAGAAATATTAGACCTAGAATGCGTGCTTGGTCACGTGACCGGTGTCCAAACTGAAAACAAAAATACCCTTATAAATCCGCCATGTTGAATTTGAGTAGGAGTGCAAACTACAAAGTATAAACAAAACTAAAACTATAAAGTTTTCATCGTCAAAACGTTTGGTATTTGTAGTTTGGGGATAGAATTTGAAATATTAAGTTCTTTAAAGGCTCAAAGCAAATGTGCCGTTACAAAAACGGTGAAAATCGTGCAGCCTTGTATAAAAAACAAGTAGTTTTTTCGTGTAGTTTCGCGTATAAAATATAACTTACTCATAAAACATTTTTGCAAGCTCTGAACGTAACTGTTTCGCTAATACTTTATAAAATTACGAGATGATAGTTCATTCTTCGTCGGGTTTTGTTTTTCTTCAATCTAAACGAAGTGTTTTCATGTTTTTGAAACAAAAATATTTAGTTGTTGATATTTAAAACTGTAAATCGCCTAAATGATCGTCGAAAACATATGGTTTCAAAAGCGTTGCCTCAAGCTCATTGAGCAACGTATAAAAAAGTATAAAAAGTAGTTGTGTAAGTTTAAAAAGATTATTGAACTCTATTTATATTATAAAACAGTTGAAATATATTTTTTAAAACATACCTATTGAGTTTCAGTTTGTCTTGATTTTTCGTGTTTTGTTTTGGCTTGCACAACAACGTTGAAAATGTATTTTGAAACGACGATTTCTCTATATATTCTGTTCAGAACTATTGCTCTTCGTAAAAAAAACCCACGGGAATGGGTTTTTCTCCATTAAAAACACCTTTTTTTCCACTTCAAGTCTGGATAGAATTGTTTTTGCAAACTTTATTGAAAAAAACAATTCGCACTCCCGGCACCGCGCGAAATTCCACGCCACAGGAGTCTGGGACTAGCCAAAATGCCCTTATAAATCCGCCATTTTGTGGAGACAAAATTTTTACTGAGAAGAGATAGGAGCACGCATTCTATGTCTATTATTTCTATGGTCTGATCACAACAAAAGGTGGAAGGGTTAGTTAGGGGGGAAATTGCCCTCTTTGCCTACCCCCTCTCGGCGGCCTTGGCGTGGACATCAAGTTTGTGCGAGGCAATAAAAATGACCGAAAATTACTCTTGAAATATCTTGAATTATAGGACAACGAAGTCGTATAATTATATTTTAGATAACAATTCTACTGACACTACTTCTATATCCTGGTTTAATTTTAATTGATCATGGCCATTTTCAGTATCCTTTATCATCAAAACCCTTTGTCATGAACTAAAATTGTGAATTCTGAAAGAAATATATTTGGGTAAAACGTTGATACTTCTTTAATGGCTTTCAAATCTTTAAAAATCTTTTTAAACGGGACTATCGCGAGGTTAAAAATGTTAAAACTTTAGAAATACTGCGCCCAAACAGTTTAACTGTTCTTCATAAATATAATAACTTGATGAAACATGTGATGCAGTTACAACCTGTTTAAAATTTTAGCATTTTTAACCTCGATAAACACCATAAACGCTGACAGAATTTGGAGGTGACCACACTTTTGGAGTTTAAATTTACCGATTTTGTTTAAATAATGCCTTTAAATGTTTAAAAAGATTTTTTAAATATTTAAAGGCATTAAAGTTTTAAATATGAGAGATGAAAGTCTCAGAAACCAGCATATTAAAACGTTGATGTGTACAGTACATTAATTTCAAAGTGCCAGTGGGGTATATACTTCTTAAATTTGAAAGATTATTTCTAGTATAATATTATTATTAAGTAACTGGGACCCAGTATTCCATAAAAGATAGACTCCGTTATGTATGGCCCCACAGAAAATTGTTCATAAAGTCTGGCCGAAATTACCGAATTTACGTAGAACATTGCAATGCTGCGTAAAGAATACTATATAAGGCTAAATAATGCATATCGCTTACTGTACTCTGTAGTCATGTATAGGTAATTTAGGGTACGTTAACATGCGCTCCGCTGCATGCGATTTGTCGTGTGGGATTCGTATATTCTGGCGTATAGAAATTCCTGCTACGCAACAATTATTCCTCTTCAGTAAATTATAGCGAAATTTGAAACGCAATTATGCAAGTCTCATTCATTATTGAATAATTTTTTATTGGATATTATATAACAAGTGTTCATTGTATATGATATATGTCACAGTTTTTATTAAGATTACATTATGCTCGATTATTTAACATTGAAGAAACCAATGTAACTAATAATTTGACTAGGAAGCATTTTACTCGATTTTTTATACATGTGAAATTTCCTTCACGTTATTGTAGATATAACTGTGTCAGTTTAGGTTTGGCTTTATGGGGGATAGTCTGTGTCATCAATGATCGTGATATACTAGCTTCAGTAATGTTTTCATTGGCTCTCAACTACAAGCAAATGGAATTGTATCATGCGCTACCTTTCTTTAGTTTTCTATTTGGGAAAGCCTTTAGAAGAAACTCGTGGTAATTATTATTCATCGTCACCGAAGCAGGAATGTCCGTTTGCTCTCCTGCCGGCGTAAGCATGCAATTGAATCTGAATCATTTTCATATCTTTCTAGGATAATGTTTATTTTTAAAGTCTGCTGTCTAGGGATTACAGTTATAGTCACGTTTGTTTTATGGTAAGCGCTGTCAGTATTTCCATGTTAGAGTATCGAATACCAACAGAATCTCCGACGAAAACATCCCGGTGATAAAAAACCCCCAAATTTACTAAATTCAGTAAAAAAAAACCACATTTCTTTTTCTAATTTTTAAAGGTAGTTCTTAGTGACTTAGTCCCCCCTACTTCCTCATTAGCATTTAGTTATGACGGGTAAACCTGACGAGCATGCTATGGGTGGGGTGGAGAGAATGTTTTCTTACCACGTTCAGGAAAATTGCTGTATCACTTATTCCCTAGTGGCTTTATATAATGCTAATGACGTCATCGGGATCGTGAATATTTAATCAGTTGGAATATTCCTTTATCCCTCCTACTTCCTCGTTGGCATTAAGTTATGGCGGGTAATCCTGTCGACTGCGCTGCCAATCACATTATTCTTCCGTATTCCTCCTTATTCTACCTCCCCAAATCTCTCTTATTATCTCTCCAACATTTCCTCCCCGCCAATACTAATTCTCCCCCATTATGCTAAGCGTAGTTTGTGGGAGCTCCGCCCTCTAAACAAGTTTAGCACCCCATTCCTTCAAACATGTAATTTGGGAATCCCCTTGAAGGAAGTTAGAGTTGCGCTCAGTATACCGAATATATGCGATTCTAAGTGATATGTGAGTCCCCGCCTCATATTCTATTGATATATCCTACTCACTTTCCATGTTCTCTGAGCCCGGGCTTCCGGTGGCTGTTACCCCCAGCACATGTTGCTTGAGCATCTTTCCTAGGCTGTCGAGAGAATCAAATGAGTGATGCGGGCCCTCTGACAAACTGCTGGGAAAAGTTGAAAGGTATCGCAGACGACGCTGTGAGAAATGCATGATCTTGCAAAATGCTCCTGATATCCGCAAATCCAATATTGCAATTCATACAACTTGGTTTACTCGCACCCCTCCTGCGTCGGCCATAAAAAGATGTCCCACGGGGTCTTGCCGGCGCCTTTGCACCCGAAGGACCCTAGTGCGACTTCACAGATGTAGTGATTCTATCGGCCATTTCGTCACTGCCTGACTGGGAACTGACGCCGAGTCAGTTGTGCTCTGCAGAGCCGTTAACCATTGTGGAAACTTTCAACTTTGCCACAGGCCTAGATATATTTCTTTTCCTTGCAGCAAAATGCAAAACAAAATTTTTTGTGAAGATAGTTTGTTAACGTGTTCCAAGCAGCGGTGCTGCTGGCGCTGCCAGACCTGTTCCAACACGGCTTTGCAATCTGGTAAAACGACCGGGCATATGAAGTCTCTCTCATATGTGCCTTGTGTCACACGGTGTCACGTCCTTACTTGGAATTTATGTTTGCCTCCTGGATATACGGTCGTCTCAGGACAAGGTTTGCTCCTGCTCGGTTTTTTATTGCACTTCTAAGTGCAATAAAAAAACAAAACACTTTAGGCTGTTACCTAATACATGAGCTTTGACTTGCCTCGGACTTTTATGCCTGTGTCAACCAAGGGCAGTTGCGTAGTACAAATTTTGTCCCTGCTCGGACTTAATGTTTCCTCAATCCCATGTTGGTTGCATAATACACACTTTGTCAAAGTATTGTACTGTATTATGAATAGCTTTTGTTATACAATACAATACAATACAATAAAGATTTATTCACAATGAAACTGAAGCATGCAATTACAGTGACAAAGGAAAAGGAAAGCTTGAGGTTATCCCTATATTAAACTTCCTTAAATAAAATAATTGTTAAAAATTACTAATTAAAATTACAATTACAAATATATGAATAAATTAGATCTTTAAATGGATTGCTTCTGTCAGTGGCCCACACATACAATGTATTTGAAAGTTGTGTTATTAGAAAACGTTTCTCTCTTTATATTTCCCTCATGTTAGGATGTGGGGTTTTTATCTGAATTCAGTAATTTGGGGTTTTTATCGATGGGGGAATTTGGTGGGCGGGGTTTTTTCCATGTTTGTGTCGGTATTCCAGATTCTGTCTGTACCAAATTGGTTGAAATAAAATTTTTAATTGTATGTCTTCACAGTTGGATTCCATTCTTAAGATATCCTCTATTAGCTCTTCGAGTTCTTGTTAGAATGTTTCCTGTTGGACGGGGACTTTATGAGGTTTGTCGTGAGGTTTATTCTTATGATTCAGACACAAAATATACTGATAAGAAAAGATACCAGTCACTCCAACATAATTCATATTGTATATAATTTCCAACATATTTAAATCTTAGTTTTCGTTATTGCATAGCCTATCGAAGGGAAGATGGTTTTGAAACTCATTAGATATTTGTGTGATGTTACTCCGAGTGTATATCCACACCGGGCAGGCTTGAAAAATATGCCCACGGTGGGAATCGAACCTACGACCTTTGGAATACTAGCCCAATGCTCTGCCAACTGAGCTACGCGGTCAGGTCGGTTCGAGTATGCGATATTTCGGAACTGAGTCTAGATCTTTCGATATCAGTGTAATTATAAGTAATAGCATAGAAAGAGGCGAATTAGCTATTAAAACGTCCCGCCCGATGAGGGTCGTTTAGTAAAATTCCCTTGGGCGCCGCTTGATGAGGGTCATTTAGTAAAATTCCCGAGGGCCGAAGGCCCGAGGGAATTACTAAATGATCCGAATCGAGCGGCGCCCAAGGGGATTTTACTAAACGACCCTCATCGGGCGGGACGTTTTCAATAGCTAATTCGCCTCTTTCTATGCTATTACCTTGTAATATCATGATTGCGGGTATTCCCGTTGTTCTCGCAGGGCCATTAAAAACCAATTAACAACTAATTCTACCTGACATGACGTAAAAGCGGGTAGGATTAGAAAAAATGAATATAATGAGGTGTATTAGTTATTAATTGCCCTGCGAGAACAAAGGGAATACCCGCAATTATGATATTATCTAATAATCATGATATTTGCTGTGTTGGTGTAATGTACTCAGGTGAATAAGATGCTTGTGTGATGTTACTCCGAGTGTATATCCACACCGGGCAGGCTTGAAAAATATGCCTGGCGATGGTGGGCTAGTATTCCAAAGGTCGTAGGTTCCATTCCCACCGTGACCAGGCATATTTTTCAAGCCTGCCCGGTGTGGATATACACTCGGAGTAACATCACACAAGCATCTTATTCACCTGAGTACATTACACCAACACAGCAAATACCATTAGATATGTCAGTCAACATGTCAGTCAACGTTTATTCATAAAGCTGGTCCTTCACCGTCACGTGTGTATTGTATTTTTGCCCAACTAACCAATAGCAATGTTTTAGGAAAGTCACCTATCCGTGACTATTATTGATTAGACTCTCGTGATTAGAAATTGCCATTCAGTAATTGGTGGATTTGGCAAAAATACAATACACACGTGACGGTGAAGACCGTATTTATGAATAAACGTTGCAGGCAAATGTGCCCCTATTTACTTTAACTTCTCCACAGAACGGTATTCATTTCAATCGTTTGAAGAATTTTGGATAGTCGATGACATATCCATTTCACTCTGTATCCATTTCAGTCGGTTGAAGAGTCGGATAGTCGATGTAAATCCCATAACCTTACATTGGCATCACCTTAGTATATATACATGAACTGGTTAGAGCGCTGCACCGGAATCGCAGGGTCGCTGGTTCTATTCCTGCCAGAGGGGCTGTAGTTGTATTTTTGACTGCTCCTGGTTAAGTGTAATAAATGTTATTAATTTGTGTCCTGGATCCACTTTTACCATGGCCTCTGGCGCGGATGAATGGGCAACTATATCCTATGACGTCGAATAAATCATTTACAAATCACTACAATTACAAATATTTAATTTACTATTTCTGTGTACAGGACAAGGTGGCAAATGTTTGGTGTTCTCTCTCTATCTTAATAAAATTTAAGGATATATTTTCTACAACTACTTTGGTAAAAATTTGGTATGTGCTCACAGTATATAATTATTTTGGTCATGTATTTGAAGTAGATTCATAAAAATACTTTCACGTAAAAAATACAATATATTTTTATAACTTTTTCTGTAGTGGTTGTTCAACAGTGGCTTTCGTTTTACCATCCAATCTCATGTTAGCCTTGCGTCCATCACCAAAGTCATTCTTACTTGCTCTCGTGAGTATATTACTACATTATATATATCCAACTTCATAAATTACGTACTAGGGAGAGCCTGGGCTGGGTAGGTTGAGTACATGATTTCCTGTATGGATTTATTATACTACAAGCATATACACGTGTGATGGTATTTAGCTTTTTTTTCCAAAAGCAAAAGTTCATCTGAAGGGCTCTGAAGCTTGTGGGGTAGTGTAACTAGAAGTATTTACAAAAAACGTAGATTACAAGTTATGACTGAGGGGGGACTCAGACTCAGGGTGGCTGAGGGCCCCCTTCCCAGGCTTGTTAAAAATTTCACGTCGATTTGGGAAGCTGACCTCCCAATATTTTTGCAGATTGCATAATCATAACCTGAAAAGTTCTTAGCAACTGTAACCAAAATATGGAACTTTCCATGTTTATCGTATTGCACCCTCCGCGTCTTCCCACTCCTTCTCCTTTGAGAGCCCCCTTGTTGTCGTTTCAGTTCTACACCATTGGGCATATCTCATGGTAGTTTGGTATGATTGAAAATTTGGAATTTATTAACGAACGCTAATATCCATACAGTGCAACATCGCATTTAGCTAATGTTCGAATTTTTCGAAAATCGTCATGCTTTAAATTTTCCGAAGATTGTTTTTAGGGAAACTGGTTAAAAAGATTTTTTTATGTTTTCTCAATCACTTTCATTTATATAGGTGAATTCATCTCTGGCGTTCTTTCTCTTTTCCTATCATGTTCATGAAAAGTCTATCCTCCTTGTTACCTTGTAAGTTTTCCAAACTTTGATCTCAGTCAACATGCTAGTGATAAACTGTACAGTGCATTCAGTTCGTAGAATTTATTTACTGTATATATATATATAATTGTATATGAAAGATATATATCTAGTATATTCTGTGCATTTTACATTAAATTTGTTTCATATTTAGGCCTGCTAGCTTGCTATTGCCATTGCAACCCCTGGAAACGATATGGTTCTTATTTATAACGTTGTTCAGGTAAGACCAGTTTACATTGCGAAGTAAACAGGCCTGTAGGTCTCGTTTTGAAGAAAGTGTTTGGGGGAAGAAAATGACTTTAAAGAGATATAGGAAGAAAGTTCAAAAGCTGCAGAGTCTTGTGTGCTCATTTAATTGTTTTCTTTTTATCCCCCCTCCTTTTATTGCTTTCAACTGGGGAAGAAATCTGGCTTGGGCACCTGGGAACGGGTATGCTCTGGGTACGAGATTGGTGGGGAAGTACGTAATAGGTGCCCAGTATACTGATTCTAATATTTTAGGTGTTACTAGGTGTACTAAATGTTCTATTTGTTCTATAGCATGATACCCTTACTGGAAAAAGACGGACTGCTCTTAGCCTACATTCCATGTATGCTCCTATTTTTGCTTCTCGCTTTCTCATTCCATCTGGATCTTAAACGTACACCAACAACTATAAAATTCTTGGTATGTGTAAATCTAATCGTCGTCGATTTCGGAAGAGTAATGAGGAGTCGCCTAATGTCATTCATTGAACTAATTCATTATTCTTTCGTTTATATAGTTTTTCTCGTCCATTGCGTGTTGTATTCTGCTACATGTCGTCAGTCATCTCCATTGTACCTCCGAGAAAGTATCCAGACATTTTCCCTCTATTAATCTCGATGTATTCGTGTGGACATTTCTTGCTGTTTTTCATTTACTCCAATTTTCGACAGTATAAGGAGTACTGCGCTGTTGCTGATAAAATAAAAAAGAAATCGTAGAATCTGAGAAACGAAAGCCTGCTTTCCAGCTAAGCGTTTTTCATACGGGAAAGTTGAAATTCTTATTATGAACAATATTTTAACACGGTACAATTTCACCTAATGAGAAATAATTATGTACACAATATAAAAAAAAAGCTAGATGATTTTCCAACCGGCCGTGCTTACTCAAGTAGAATAATCACACTTATCTCGCCTAAACGAGATGAAAAATTCCCCTATAAACACTTCATCCCGGCTAGGCGGGATAAACTTTTCCATTGAGCATGCGTAAATGCCTTTTCTGCAAGAAATATGACGTCAAGCACTTAAATGGCTTCATCCCGGCAATATAATTAATCTATCAGCCGATCGTGTAATAGACCTTTCCAAGGTTAACGACGCCATAATGAAACACAATAGTGCAAGGGGTACAAACACAATGGAATTCCCTATAGGTAAATTTGCAGGGGGTGCAAACACAATGGTGAAAACAATGGATTCAAGATGGCGTCGTTAACCTTGGAAAGGTCTATTCTCATGCATGTGTGATTTTTGTAAGCGCTCTGTTTTGTTATTTTTGTAAATTTTATACAGGACAAATACACATTATATACTGAACAAATACACATTGAATGGTACAGAAAACTAATTGTTGTTCTTTTATTTATTTAGCTATTTCATAAGTAGCATCTAAAAAGATTTCAACTTTCTTTGCGTATACGCACGTACGTACAAAACTCGCGGGCGGGAAAATTACGGCGCGCAGAGAAAAGGGCGGGCGTTCAGGCTATAGACACCACTGAACAGCATGTTTACCCATTTTATTACTTTTCATTACTTTGCCATTTACTGCATATAGTTTTACAAACTTGCCCGATTCTTACACTTCAATTTATTTTGATGTTTCGCGCAGATTAGGGTTAAAGGCCTGATTCCACGAGGCGGAATTTTTCGACCGAAACGAAATTTCTCTTTGTCTTTTTACAATTAGTTCTGCTTGAGAGCTCATGAAACAAAGAGAAATTTCGATTCGGTGGAAAAATTTCGCCTAGTGGAAAACCGCCTTAAGGCCTGATTCCATGAGGCGGAATTTTTCGACCGAAACGAAATTTCTCTTTGTCTTTTTACAATTAGTTCTGCTTGAGAGCTCATGAAACAAAGAGAAATTTCGATTCGGTCGAAAAATTTCGCCTAGTGGAAAACCGCCTTAAGGCCTGATTCCATGAGGCGGAATTTTTCGACCGAAACGAAATTTCTCTTTGTCTTTTTACAATTAGTTCTGCTTGAGGGCTCATAAAACAAAGAGAAATTTCGATTCGGTCGAACCGCCTTAATGGTGCACACATTTCTGCAGCCTTGCTATGGTGCTTGTCAAAAGCTCGACAAATCACGAAAATTTTAATAACAGCTTGATATTTAGACTGCACGACACCATGCAACTCTGCCACAGTATCTTCTCTGCTTTTAAAACCATGGCTTCTAATGCAGAAAAAATAATGCAGAATGATTCTAATTAATGCAGAAGAAACAAACGTTCAACGGCGGTTTTAGGTTGACCACATCACAAATTTGAGTTTCTTGTCTACATTTCCCCCTTCCAGATTGTACAAAATAAGGGAAGGACAAAATAAGGGAAGGACTATAGGCAGTGGCGGACACTAGGGCAAGGGAGGGAAGTTACCCCTGAAACCACGAAAGTATTATTTTGCAGGGTATAAATTAAGCCTATATTCTATGGAATTTAAGGCAACAAAGTTTAAAGAATTAAAATGTGGTGGTGGTCATATATAATGGCAACCTAATTCGCCTCCCCCTCGCTCACGAAGTGCATGTCCGCCACTGCGCTTATAAGTCCATCTCGACTAGGCCCTTTGCAGACGCTCTTTGTGGCATGGTATGGAGAGCAGAAACGTGTGTAGATACAACTTCTAGAGTCGCATTTTACAATATTTATTTTCTTTGATTATTACATCATAAAATATTTCTTTTACCGCTATTAATATCTTTACAATTAATCCGCTATGTATAAAAATAATCATTTTACGTATTCATCAATACCTGGGTTCCAGTTTTTGTGCTGTGCCCTTAATACTCAATATTCCTTTGCAAAGTAACAAGTTTGATCTTCCACTACAATATTATGAGTAATATGACGCTTGACATGGCAATATACTACAATAATTAAATCTAAAACGTAGTTCATTGTCATTGATTAATGAACGCTCTACCAGTCACTGGTCAGATGCCGATGACGTAATAACCTAGGGCATTCAAGCCTGGTGCGAATATACTAGTGACTTTTCAACACGGGTTGATGGTAATTATTTGATTTAATTCATTAGTACAAAATTTCACATTTAAAAATCATCCAGTCTTTTATCAGTTTTTGTGGATTCCCTTCTAATCATGGCTCTTGTATTGCCAACACCACACAGACCAACTGTTCTCTTTCTTCAAACCTCACACACATTCGTTATGACAGCAATCCTGTCCACATATGATAACAAAATACATTAACAACTTCTGCTATGAAGTCGTCACCAGACTTGGGAATAACTCGCTCAATTTTCTTATTTTCGTCAGCCGTGATACGATTTACGATCTTCACATCCTACATATATCAAAGAAAAATTTCAGTGTTGAACTCAACGCAATATTTAAGTTATTTCCAACAAGAAGTGGGTAATATTTTACGCGTACGATGATTTATTCACCAAAGTGGAGGTGAATTGATGATTCCCTTATTACGTTTTCGAAGCGCTTTGCATTGTAGTTATAGTGGTATCACTGATAAAAATAGCGGCCTCGAATGAAAATATTGAATGTTTTCGCGAATATTTTGCTGTTGGCTATCGCGCACCTGACCCTAGCTTTTTTAAAAGTTCTTGCACGGGTCAGGACAAAAAATAAGCCATCTTGAATATCAGTGATACTACTATAACCACAATGCAATGGAATTATCAATTGTGCAACGACCACAAATTCAAATTGTCCAATCAAAAAACAGCATTTGTACCACGTGACACTGATTTTTTACGGTATTTCACTTAAATCCATGATTACGCACTACAGCCGAGTAGGTAAACTCCCCTCCCCATATAGGGACGGAAATAATTAGTTTTCCGGACAATGACGTCACGCTTTTCTCCGCCATTTTCTACAGAAGTGTAGTACACAAAGGAACGTGCCTGATCATGTACGTACGCAGCGTACGTAAATAAGAAAGGAAAAAGGTGAGGTTTTCTTCCAATCGCACCTAAGCGCAGACGAGTGTGATAAACAGAAGAAAATCTATCATTAGATAAATTATCGATGTGAACCAAATGAACAAACGAATAGCTAACAGCTAGGTATGTTCATAATTGATCTTCTACTTTGAGTTATTAAATATTTGTGCCTTTTACGATTCTGTTTATCTTTTCTGGTGATTGAATAAGGTAGCAAAAGGAATGCGTTGATAGAGGACATAGTCGAATATACAAAACCATTACGTGACAGTGCTTGGTGAATCTTTCTTCGCCTTCGGTGAGTGAAGACAAGAGCATCGCCATCGACATCAAGAGGTTTACTTGTTTATTTACTTTCATCTCTAAATTACGTTTACCTATTACTTCTTCCTATTTGCTTAAATAAGCGAAGATGAAGTGGGTGATAGTCAGGCGAATAAAGACGAAGCGACTGAGGTATATTTTCTATATTTTTCAGTATTTTCTATATTGTTATATTCTTACATTTAAATAATTTTTGCTAATTAATAATATTTTCCTATGTTTGAGACTAGTGCCGACGAAAACAATGTGAAGTTTGAACTGTGGTAAGTATAAAATCAACGCGTACAAAGCTCATCAACAAATAATACAAAAGAACTAGTTAGCCTAATTTAGCAAACCATTTACTATATATGCACCGGGGTACCTTTAAATAATTTAGCTAGGGTAATACTTTTTCAAAACAACTATAGTCTACATATGACATGTCTGCAAAAGCGTTTTCAAAAATGTTAGATGGAAATAAACTTCTCAATTTCAGAAAACCATGATTTTTTTTCTGTGTTGGTGTTATGTACTCAGCCTCAGGTGAATATGATGTTTGTGATGTTACTTTATTATTCGCTAGCATTCCAAAGGTCGTAGGTTCGAATCCCACCGTGGCCAGGCATATTTTTTAAGCTTGCCCGGTGTGGATATACACTCGGAGTAACATCACAAACATCAATTTCAGAAAAATCGGACAAACTTGAACAACTTTTCTGGAGGGTTAAGGCCCTGTTACACGGTGCAATTTTTCATGCAACTTGTCTCGCAATGTTTAAAAAAAAGATTTTGATAATGCATTGCAAGAGGTGTTACACGCTGCAATGATATTCATGCAACTCGCAACGATACGGGACAGAGGCATGCGAAGAGAATAGGGAGAGGCGCTATTTGGCGCCAAATTTTAATTAAAGTAAAGCGTGTACTGGGGAGAGCCAATAGGAACTCTCCAAGCATTAAACATTGCGAGACAAGTTGCACGAAGCCATGTTACACGCTGCAATGCTTCATGCAACTTGTCTCGCAAAGATTTTGACCATTGCAAGGCATGTTAAACGGTGCAATGACTCGTGCAACTTGTCTCGCAACGCCATTGCGAGACAAGTTGCATGAAAAATTGCACCGTGTAACAGGGCCTTTATCAAGCAATAGCAGTTACTATTTTCCATTAATGGTTTTCCTTGAGACTTACCCGGAAAGAAACATGAACTTTGAATGTATAATAATAAAAATTATAATTTCAAATTAATTTCGAACGTGATCAGTCATGCTTATAAAATCACAATATTTTCTAATAGTGTTTTAAAACCGTATCAAACACTTATTCAACTCCGTGTTAAATGCAACAAGCTACGCTTATCAAACATATAGTCACTAAAGTATTGATGAAACTAGATATTGCTCATTGACATTGCCAATTTGCTCGGTACTTGGTATAAAAGTCCGCAGTATTGAAACATCAAAATCCTTCGAGTAAAGTACTAAAGGTGAGTGCATTAAGTTTGCTTGTAAATTATGGCATTGGAATTGACTATTCGACAAACATATCCACGTTGGGGCGATTGAAAGTCTATCGATTGTTGCTTAAATGCAGTTTTGCAAATATATTGCTCTTATGGCAGACCTTTGTTTACTGGAGGTTGTGATTTGTTGTGAAATTGTTTATGTTAAATCTTGTTAACGCTCATGACATGCGGCCGTGCGCCGTTTGTGTCAGTGGGCCACAGGCACAGCATAACTGTATTTCCGATGCGAAGAAGCCACCTAGAAAACAATTTTCACCAAACATAAAGATCAGTATAGCCATGCTTTAAAATTCTGCATGTTGGCACTCTTTTAAACCTGTGGTTTGCGAGCAATTAACATTTGAATATGAACAATTTTCACTTCAAGTCTTCGTGAATTCAGAAATCGGTCATTTCATCCGCGGAAATTTGATGCAATGTTTTGTTTAAATGACATCGGAGGTAAAAAATTAGTTTGTCTTACTTAAAAGGCGTTTTAAATAATCCTGAAATCATGTAGCAGACTTTTACATCATGCTTCGGACTCGAAATATTTTGACTGAAAGTCATAAGCTGTCCGCCATCTTGAATTCATTCTCATTAACATCAGTGCTCATTAACTATGGTTTTCGTGACGTCACAAGTGAGGTTGGCTCGTAAACTTTCTTATCTTGACAGTCGGTGATTAATCACCCAAAAAACTGGTGTTAGGTTGTTGTTGAAAATGTTTTTATTTCACTAGAAATTTGAAGCAACAACCTAAAACGAGTTTTTGAAGCAACAACCTAAAACAAGTTATCTTGCTTAATTAAAACACTCATTACTAATTCATACGTGTTTTGGCCAATCATGTCAACCATAATGTGTCACGTACAGCGACTTTAAACCTGATAAAGTTCCTCCTAACTAGTATTCTTTATATAAAGATTCATCCTAACTAGTATTCTTTATATAAAGATTAATCCTTTAATTTAACGATTGTTTGGATGACTTTTTCTAAATGACCGCGTAAGTAGCATGATAGCCCCCGTATAGGGACGGAAGTGATCTATCATAGGGTGCGCACTAAATGAATAATATCATAGGGTGTGCACTAAATGTATAATATCATATAGGGTGTGCACTAAATGTATAATATCATAGAGTGTGCACTAAATGTATAATATCATAGGGTGTGCACTAAATGTATAATATCATAGGGTGTGCACTAAATGTATAATATCATGGGGTGTGCACTAAATGTTTAATATCATAGGGTGTGCACTAAATGTATAATATCATAGGGTGTGCACTAAATGTATATATCATAGGGTGTGCACTAAATGTATAATATCATAGGGTGTGCACTGAATGTATAATATCATAGAGTGTGCACTACTGTAAATGTACAATATCATAGGGTGTGCACTAAATGTATAAATGTATAATATCATAGGGTGTGCACTGACGGTGTGCACAAAACCACGTTGGTCGGAATACTAATGACCTTGACGTCATCCTTGGAATATGACGTCATCCTTGGAATATGACGTCATCTGAAATTTTCCGGCGTAAAGGGTGCATATACTAAGGGCTGTGCACATGCATGTAATGTTTTTATTACGAACAAATGATCGACATGAATATTGTTTTTAAACTGTTAATAATCATACGTATTGTTTTTTAAAAGTGTCTTATGCACGTTGATTTTCGTTCCAGTAATACAGATAAACCAAAATAGGTTGATACTCAGAAAAATCTGAGTTGTATCTTAAACCCTTCTGATGTTGTTTCATAATTTTTCGTCAAGTTCTCATAATGTTCTATCACTGCAGCTTCGTAATAATCCAATTTCTTCACACAAATAGCTTCGTTAAAGAGTTTCCAGAGTATTTCCTGTTCGATTACTTGTTCCATGGTGTCGAAGCTGTACGTTGTCCAACTTTCTTCAAGTGTTAACATGAAACAATCGTGCCTTCTCTTACTTGGGTGATCCACTTTACAACCACAACACATTTTTGCGTATTTTCGCTATTGGCGTATTTGCGGAAACAGGTTCAGAGAATATAGCATCCATGAGGTTACATAGATTCTTCACTTCATAAGAGGTGACTTCGTCCATTAGTAAACAGAATGCCCCACGTTCTTCGGATTGGAAAAACTCGTGTTTAACGTATTTTGTAAAAGCTCGTTTTGTGTGAAATGACAGTATGTGTTTTTTTGAAATATATGCACGTGGGGCTATGTCCATAGTGTGCGCACATGTTTTGATTGGATAAATGCGATTATTCAGCGGGTATAAATTGAGGGGGCTGAGTGAAGAGTGTTATTCTGTTTTCAGTTTGCATTGAGAGAACTTCACTGATAATATGAATTGTCTATACGGAAAACCTGCTGCTTATTCGACAGCAAGCAATTGGTTCGTTTTGGTTTTGTGGTCAGAATCCTAGCTGTAATTTCGTCTGCACGGAAGACGATGGTTATTTGTATGAGAAAGCCATAACTACTTGGAGATCGATGAATCAGCCTCATCCTCAATGCGGTGGACATCACAAGCTTGAGAAAATATGCGTGGTCAAAGATTTGATGAAAGTGAATTATGGAAGACTGTTCTTTGTGTGTTAAGAAGAGTCGAAGCCGTGTCCCTTCTGGATGTGGGGTGATGTGCAGCCAATAGCGAAACCAAAGCGTCGTCATGGATTCCCGTGTGAAATCCAAAAGGTGAAAAGAGAAGGTCTCAACAAAGATCGACTGTTCTTCTGTTGTCCGGACGACAAGGAAAACTCGTGTCGGGTTAGCGAGTACGTGGGCACCTGAGGAGTAGAACCATGGACCTTGTGATGCTGTGAACTTTAGCGTTAGTCATGATTTTGTACATGGCGTTAGTCATGATTTTTCACATATAAATAAATTGTTTCACCATTTGTATTCGTTTGTTGTTTTGTTGCAATGGAAGTGATTTTAGACGTTATCATATCATGTCAATTATTTGCTTAAGCGTCACGAAGCGCTGTACAATCACGTGATATTGGATGTTAATTCCCAGAACATGCATGTCATTTTAACACAATCAATGTGACTAATTTTGGCCGTGTCATGGCCTATCTAACATTGCTGCATTTGATGCACGACTCCGAAGGTGCTACGCGTAGAGCTGTTCGTTTGGTTGTTGCCCCTTTTAAGAGAGTTTTTTTTCCGGAGAGTGCTTTCTAGGATCAGGTTGTGGATAAACGGACACGTGAAATAATACGCAGTACGTGTTTTGCATGTCAACACGATGAACGTGAGATTTTAAACGCTTGCGAATTTTTATATTTGCGGACATGCAGAGTCCTATTTGGGAAATCCTATTTGGTTCGTAATATCTTACGGCATTTAGAGGAACTGTTTGATCGCGTGCCAACCAAAATAATATACTGTTATGGCATATATCAAAACGAATTCGAAGAAATGTTGCAATCAATGCCCAATTATGTGATATGGTCCATGGACATGATAACTCATTAGTGTCTCCATCGTGCTGGTTCCTGAAAACGTGCTCAACCGTTAATAGCAGAAACAAAAGCTTGCATGAGACTTCCCTTCCAACATGATGCATCAAGATAGTTGTCGGAGATTTTTCAGAGCGTGAGTATGCCCGACGCTGAGAAACAGAAATTGTACAATGCGAACATGGAAAGTTACCTGAGTTTGAGACGTCAAAAGGACTGTCAAATACCAACCGTCCGGATAGCGCCGGATACAGCACAAGAACCTCAAAAGGGAGATAAATGGGGTTTAACGAATACAAAATCGATCGCACTGAGCTATAACAATAGCTATAATTAGCTTACAGTAATGTTTATTTCCCAAACCGGTTTGACATATTTTTACAAATGGCCAATCACATGCGAGATTCAAATTCTGAATCTAATCAAGTGTGGAAGTGGGATTTGCAACCGATGTGACCAGAGACTCTCCCTTCTCGCCTCTCGTTAATTTCGCCTCGCAAAGAGCCTCTGGAACCTGGGTACTACGGTTACTACCGGCATGTAAATAGTTCTGACAATGATTTTGAAATAAAGTAGAATTATATAAACTCTTATTAAAATATTTATCACGAAACTATATAGCCTGCGAACAGGCTCTCTTTGAACTCTCTTATAAAAAATCTGACCAAATTATCACATCAAATTTTATGTCTTGTTTTCGATTACTCACATTTTCGATTTATAAGATCATAGTAAGTTCATTTTTATTCTTTACAGTGTTACCTTTTATATGATTATTATTTTCCATACCATTTTTAACCTGTTCTTATCCTCTCATCTTTTTTTCTAGGTTTGACAAAGTGGTCATTTTCCATAGCGTTTCAGTTCCTATTTCACCCATGTCGTCGAACAGAAATGAGACAGACAACTTCGAATGCATTATGGAAATTATGAATGTTCCTGTGTTAGAGGGTCTGCGGGAAATATTTAAACAGGAATGGGACAAAAAGTACGGAGCAATGAAAGGCGTGTGGGACGACACTTGTATATTGGGAAATGAGTTGTTTAATATGGAGAAGACAACTCCTGCCGCTAGACCTTATCTACAAGTATTCAAGTTTGGAAATAGAAGTAACTGGGATATTTCTGCTTTATCGTATGCTATTCTATATTCAAGAGCGCTTAAACCCTATGTACCTGGACATGTCAATAATAACGTTGACGTATTAAGAGATCTCCGAAATAAACTGACACATTCCATTGCACCGCATTATAAAATGTCTGACGTTGCCTTCGAAAACGTTTACAGAATAATAAAGAATTGCTTCAATGCACTATCGCTATCCACTGCGGACGTTGAAAGAGTTAGGAACTCGAGGAGAAGAAGACCTTCACTTCGCCTTAGTTACTTGGCGGGTATTTGCTTGACAGTATTTATTGTTGGGTTATCCTACTTTTGGGCAAACCCTGTTCGGAATAAAATTCTTTTTAGAGTTCTCCCAACCAGACCAGGTCATTTGATTGTCAACCGAAGTCGAACTGTCCACGCGATTCTTGACGAATTAAGTAATCTCTCCATTAGTAATAATCGTGCGTTGACCTATATGTACATTTCGGGTCCACAAGGGAGTGGTCGGTCTCAAATTGCTAGGTTAGTAGGTCAGCACTATGGTGAAAATATCTCCCATGGGTGGTTTGGTGGCATTGTATTTATAATGACTATCAACGGCAGATCATTACTTCATGTCTTGAATTCATATGTAGAGTTTGCATATCGCGTGAATTGTGATAAAAATGTCATTGATAGAATTTTATATTCTAATCAAAACAACACTGAAGAAAAAGTAAAGAGCATTCTCTCAGAAATTGTAAAGAAGTTGGAAAACGTCAATAATAAATACACTTGTCTGATGATAGTACTGAATGTATTAAAGCTGAGTGAAATATCTCCATTCCTCCCTCAACTGGAAGAAAAAAGTTGGCAAGGTGGCCAAGTGTTAATTACCACACAAGACATATCATCTGTGCCATCAAACGGTTCGTTAACTGTCCATATTTCAGTTAGTCAAGGGATGGAGCCAGCAGAATCTTGTAAGTTTCTTACGGATTTCTCAGGGATTTTTGAAAATCAAGATTTAGTAAGTGAAATAGCCAAGAAATTAGATAATCAACCACTTGCTTTGGTCTCCGCTGCGCTTTACGTCAAACAACTTCGCGACAGCAAGGTACAGATAACATGGAAAGATTATCTGAAGAAACTCCATGAGGAGAAACGGAATTTAACTGAGATGAAACAAAGTGAATCTAAGGAGGTCAGTTCTTCAACGGTGTACGCAGCTGTGTCATTAGCAGTCAGGTGGATTGGAGAAAACGACTCTGTTATGAAACACGCGTTTACATTTCTTTCCTATGTTTCCCACGAACCAGTACCACTTTACTCTGTCGAAGCCTTCGTCCTTCATGTCGATCGAGATGCTTTCAATACTGATCAACGAATTCAGCAATGTTCGCTTATTCTTTCTTTAGATGATGGTGAAATAATTTCAATCTCTTTGCATCCAATCGTACACAAAATTATCAACCTTTATACTTCACATTATGTAAAAGAAGATAAGAATCTTCCACGGATTGTGTTGCAAATGCTTGTTTTACCTAGATTGCCATTCCTAGGTCAATATTATATATCTCATCTCAAATCGTTTTATAAGAGAGCAAGTAGTCTTCCAATGGATATGCTGATTCCAAAGTTAGGTGATTTAAGACTTAATATGTATAATCGTCTGTTTTACTTCGCTCGCATTTTAGAAAAAAATGACGAAATATCTTTATTCAAGTACTATCGAGATCTATGTTTTCGGATTTATTCCGCGACTGACTGACATGCAGTGGGGTCCTGAACAGATTGGCCCAAAAAATAGCTTACTCAACGATGTTTTTATACTGTACAGTGTATTCATTACATAACTAGTCTTTATATGGATTTCCCTGTTTTTGTTTTGCCTGGACTGTAATTATTTAAAAATAATAAAAATTGTTCTACATGTATATTTTTATATTATCTTAATAACGCAGAATTTCAGGCAAAGTAAATGTCATGCTATTTCACTTAGCTTAGCGCATGTCGCATGCACCAACCTTTTGCTGTAACGCAGAAGTATGTAGAAATATTACCAGGCTACAACATTAACAAAAATTACAGGACAGAGCTTTAGAATAACCACACGAGAGAATTACACAACACAAGAAACCTAAACTAATATGAAACAATTCCGCTTTTGCTCATCTATTTTTAAACAATCTTCTAATTATGTATCTCGTAATTTATTTCTTATAAATCATGTATTGAGCATTTTTCCAGTGTGAGCACGGCCGATTGGAAGATCACCTTTTTCCTTTCTTTTATTTACGTACGCTGCGTAGGTATAGGATTAGAAATTTCCTTTTGTGTGCGTACAGGCGTACGCACGCTCATTATTATCCTGTAGGTAAAACTTTATTTTACTACGCTAACCCCTACAGCAAAAGCTGATTTCCAAGGGGGGCGTAGCATTAAATTCAAATTTACATGAAAAAATTTAGAAAAATTAAACATACAAATACAGTTAGTTACATGCAGTTAATACAATTACATACATAATTAAATAGGTTATAGTAAATATTAAAAGATTAAATAGTCAAAGTAAATATGGATTTGAAAATTCTAATTAGTAGCCAGGTGTCATACGTTTTTGTTGAATATAGCTAGTGATTGTTTTCCTCTTAATTCATTTGAGAGACTATTCCACAATTTAGCCCCTCTATAGCTAAGACTTTTCTTAAGATATTCAGTCTTAGGCTTGGGCAAATGGAGTTTAGTGGAAGAGCCCCGCAAATTGTAGTGCTGGGAGGAAGACGTCTTTTGAAAAATATCAGTCAGTCGTAAGGGCGCTAGATCATGAGTAATTTTATACATAAGACTTGCCACAAACTGGGTTCTGCGTTCGCTCAGAGGCTTCCAGTTTAATTCATTTAGAGCAAGTTCAGATTGACCATGCATGTTCATTTTTACGACCCACGATAGCTCTAGCAGCCCTATTTTGTAATTTCTGGAGACGATCAGAAAGTGTGGTACCATGCAATGGTGTCCCATACTTCGCAACAGTAATCAAGGTGAGGCAAAACAAGTGCATTATAGGCACAAATTAATGTATTACGGTCTACACATGATTTTAACTTTCTGATTGCCCCAATTCCGGATAAGACTTTTTTAGCAATTTTATCAATATGCTTTTCCCATGATAGAAATTCATCAATATAGACTCCAAGTGCCTTTGTTTCTCTTACCCTTTTAATTGGTATGTCACCAACAAATACCTTTGGGGTAGCCAATATATTATTAATATTATGCCGTGATCCAATTAGTATGTACTCAGTTTTAACGAGATTTAAAGATAGTTTATTTGCACAGAGCCACTGATTAACGTTTGAAAAATCGTTATTGATGGCAACTTCTACATCATGAAGAGATTTACCAGATACAGTTAACGTTGTATCGTCGGCAAACATTCTTGATTACGAGTGTTCAAGACTTGTAGGCAGATCGTTTATATAAATTAGAAACAGGAGTGGCCCAAGAATTGAACCTTGGGGTAATCCCACAAGTAACAAGATTTTTTTTAGACAATACGCCGTTCACAGTACACATTTGAAATCTGTTCTCTAAGTATGATCCTAAAAGATTTAGGGCAGGTTTTTGTAGACCATAAAGGTCAAGTTTCTTAATCAATATATTATGGTTTATAGTATCAAATGCTTTCTGCAAGTCAAGAAATACTGCAATATTGAATTGACCACGGTCCATATTAATGAACCATTCGTTAGTACTGTCCAAAAGGGCAGAGGCTGTAGAATGGAACTGCCTAAAACCAAATTGATTTTGAGACAACAAATTATTAACAACTAAATAATCATATAGTTGACCATATAGAACTTTTTCAAAAACTTTACTTACTATATAGGCAGAATGGAAATTGGGCGATAGTTATTCAGCATATTTCGAGGGCCATTTTTGTGTAAGGGGATAACTCTCGCTAGTTTCCACTCTGAAGGAACAGTTTCACTATAGATTGCCGTATTAAAAAATTTTGTCAGTGAATTTGCAATTATTGGCGCAGAATACGAATAATTTTAGCGGGAATTTTATCAATTCCAGTAGATTTACAAGGATTTAAAGAGGAGAGAAGTTTGTATACTTTGGTTTCAGACACTGTTGGAAATTTGAAACTACTTGATGTTTTGGTTGTGTAATCCGTGAAATTTCTGTCAGTTTTACCAATGGTTGTGGCAATTTTTGGACCAATATCAGTAAAGTAATTATAAAAACGCCCCGCTAATTCATTTGGACAAGAAATTTGACCATTCTGAGTGTGGATACAATTTATTTCGCGACATTCTTGTTTCCGGTTAAGGATTTTATTAACGGTTTTCCAAGCTTTTTTAGGGTCATGTTTGACACCTTCAAATTGTGCTTTATAATATGTTGTTTTTCCTTCTCGCAGTGTACTAGTTATATGGTTTCTAGAGGTTTTATATTCAGTCCAGTAATTTTCTGAATTATATTTAACGGCAAGGAATTTGAGACAATCCCGGTCATGTATTTGTTTTTTAATTGCATTAGTCAGCCAAGGAATATTTGGTATATTTTTGACTCCCTTTTCTCTAATTGGTGCATGCTTGTCTAGAACTGACAAGAAAATAATTTTCCATGTTTCCCACATCCTGTCAACGCAGAAGTTATTGTCCAACAATTCCCATTCCTGATTACTCAAATCCATTAGGAAATTTCGAATTTCGACTTTCTTGTGGCGGTTGTTTTGTTTAGGACGAATATTAATTTTACGAACAACTAAAATCATATAGTGATCGCTGATAGCAATCTGCACCACTTTAGATAAGACTAACCTATCTGGAGTTGGGGTGAGACAAACATCCAACAGGGTAGATGAAGTCATGGTCAAGCGAGTGGGTGAGCTTATATTGTTTGTGTTAACTGATATAGTTCAATGATTGAATTTAAGTTTTTTGTGGCATTATTTGAAACGTCAAGCATATTGGCATTTAAATCACCAAGCATGTAAAATTCCTTATTCTCATCATCTATAAGTTTAATTAGTTGCTCAATATTGGCAAAAGAGTCGACAGAAGCACCTGGAGGTCTATAAATGGTACCAACAATAAACGATGCAGAAGAGGGTTTGTTAACCTCAATACAAACTGCTTCAAGATTATTTCTAGTCAGATCTTTTCGTTCGAAATAATTAATGGAATTTCTTATATAAACAGACGCCTCCCCTTGTTCTAGAGCGATCGGCCCTAATTAAATCATAATTGTGAATAAACATATCCTGATTGGTAATATTATTATCTAGTCTTGTCTCATTTAGTGCGAGAATATCGAGACATTTTTCAGCTAATATTACTCTAATTTCTTCTATATGTTTAGGTATGTTAGCAATGTTAAGCATACCCATTTTAAAACCCTTTACATTAGGTAAGCATGGGTTAGTCGGTGTATGCCTGTTTCCACCTGGCTATACATTATATCAATTTAAGGCAAAATGATATTCAAACCAAATTTGTTTTGGGGAAGATACACATTGCTAAGGGTTGCAGATATTGGAAGTTACAGCCATTTTCGAATATATTTAGTAGCAAAAAAAAAAAATCTAAAGTTTCGCAAATCCAAGTTTTAGATATATCGGTTATTGTTAAGTTCCATGAGATTTTTGAGAGTAAGTAGCGACTATATAGAAGAATTTTGTTTCGGGGGTGTAAAGGTAATTTATCAATTTTCGATATAATATCATTAAACAGATCACACAATTCGGATTTGTGTCTTTCATCGGACATGTTGAAATCGAAACAACGACCAAGATAGGCGGAAATATTCTCCGAGTTCGATACGGGGTATAAGTTGGTTATTAACGAACAGCTTAGGTTGGTACTGGATAGACTTAGATGAGCGTTTTTTAATTCCAAATGAAGAGCACTTGTCAACACGTATTATCATATTGGCCCATTGACACCTTACTGTGAAACGATTGAGCAGAATTTGATTTTCATTTTCTTGGCTGCTGATGACAGCCGCGTCGTCTGCGAATTGAAACCAATGGATAGGGTTGCACGGAATACCAGTTTTATTCAATTTCCAAAAGCCAAGCTGGGTGTATTTCTCAGATTTTATGTGCTGAACGAATGTGTTAAAGGACATATTGAAAGTAGTAGGAAAACGCCGATTCTGCTCAGGTAGATTAATGCATGGGTCAAGTTTCAGCCAAGGTCGAAATATGGGTATACCAAGTTGGGCGCGATTTTTACAAAGACAAGAAGGTTAGTTTTAACCTGTCATGGTTTCATGTTATAGATTTTGACCTGGTGAATTTTTTACCGATTTTTATTTTATTATTCGTTCTTCACATGAGCAGTTATATATCCTAAAACGTCAATAAACACAGGTTAAATGGAAACCATTGTGCGGACTCATAAAATCGCTTTTCCCAATTGCCATTTTGGTTTAATGTTGTACATGGCATCTTGTACTAAACGAATCTAACTTGCTTTGTTGTCTAGATGGCTAAACAAAGTAAATATTTTGCGTTTTATGTCAATTTATTCCGTAACTGTGCGTATTTATTTAAATATATTTTGAATATTCGTGTTAATGTAGGTATATCAAGTTATGACTATCAAGTTTGTGTTATGCTTTATCTATGTAGCATTAAATTATCGTTGCTTATGTATTGTAACCTTGTCCGCAAAACGGGCGAAAGTCATAGTTTGTATCAAATATAGATCGCAATTTTAAGCCGTATTATTTACAACGAGCGGGAGTCCGCATTGTCGATTATAATTTATTTATTTATTAACTTTACAACCATACATAAAATAGACTAAAAAACTACATAATATGGTTGAAGGTATGGTCAACAGGACATGAATAGCCCCATATGAAGACCAACCTTAATGAAAACAAACTATAACAAACATAAATCAAAGACGATAACAAATGTAAAATTTACAGAAAACATGACGAATTACGAACAACAGCTTAAGT